CCGAGTTGGACACCAACATCACCCCTCGCGCCAACACGGGCGATGTGACCAACCTTGTGCAGACTCTGTGCAACTACCTGTTCAAGAACAGCGATGGTATCATCCGGGCTCGTGCCATGCTGTGCCAGATCTACTTCCTTGCTTTGCACGACCAGTACTACCGCTCTCGCGACCTGATGCTCATGTCCCACCTTACGGAGAACATTGCCAACTTCGACGTGAGCACCCAAATCCTCTTCAACCGCACTCTTGTTCAGATCGGTCTGTGCGCTTTCAGGGCCGGCCTGATCTACGAGGCTCAGAACACCCTCTCCGAGGTCTGTGGCAGTGGCCGTCAGAAGGAACTGTTGGCTCAGGGTATCATCCTTCAGCGCTACTCTACTGTCTCGCCTGAGCAGGAGCGCCTGGAGCGTCAGCGTCAGCTGCCCTTCCACATGCACATCAACCTGGAGCTCCTCGAGTGCATCTACCTCACCTCCAGCATGTTCCTGGAGGTTCCCTTGATGGCTCAGACCTCCTCCTCCCCCGAGATGAAGCGCCGTGTCATCTCCAAGACCTTCCGTCGTATGCTCGACTACAACGAGCGCCAGGTCTTCACCGGCCCCGCCGAGAACACCCGTGACGGTGTTATCATGAGTGCCAAGTTCCTCGCTGCCGGAGACTGGAAGAAGGCCGCCGAGATGCTTAACTCGATCAAGATCTGGGATCTGATGCCCCAGCCCGACAAGATCAAGGAGATGTTGTCCCAGCAGATCCAGGAGGAGGGCTTGAGGACATACCTTTTCACCTACGCTCCCTTCTACGACAGCCTCTCGATCGCCACTCTGGCCACCATGTTCGAGCTCCCCGAGAAGAAGATCGCCGCCATTATCAGCCGGATGATCTCTCACGAAGAGCTGGCAGCTGCTCTTGACCAGGTCAACGACGCCATTGTGTTCCGCAAGGGCGTTGAGCTGTCGCGTCTCCAGTCCCAGATCGTCACCCTGGCAGACAAGTCGATGAACCTTCTGGAGGCCAACGAAAAGACTCTCGAGCAGCGTACTCAAGGCATGGCCAACGCCTTCCAGCGCGATCAGGGCGCCGGCGCCCGTGGTGGCCGTGGTCGTGGACCTGCTGGCCAAGCCCGTGGTGGCCCCAGAATCCCTGGTGGCCAACAGGGCCGTCGGCCTGGTGGACAGCAGTTCAGCGGTGGTGCATTGGGCGGAGCGATCAAGGCATAAAAAATGATTTAATGGCATTGATTTCTTTTCATGGTTCTAATGCTCCTTCTGGAATTTAACTTGCGTATGATTCCATGTGCTCTTACCCATTATGGTCATTTCTTTTTCGCTGGGCAATTCTCGCCCTTTTCTTAGATTTTCCTACTGTCACGCATATCGTATTTTTACTATCCGCAGATGAATATCACGTTTGGAATGAACGAGGAAATACGGAGACTTGGGCGTTAAGTCGTGCTTGAAGGGTGCAAGTAGCGGGTTGAAGTTTCACGTACAGGCAGTCGATGTCCGGACAGCAAATATAAACATTCAGGACTGGCATCATATCTAACTCTGCACTCCTGCTGAAGGCAGTGTTGTATATAAATATAGCAGAACCAGGCTGTCCGCTAGGTATCATCTCTCATCGCAATTCAAACAAGACCACAAGGGTGCCATGGCGGTTCTTAGGCTAGACGCCTACTGCATGTTTGAATCTGCTTTGCTTTGGCCGGTTCCGAATAAGGCATGACGAGACAGGTATTCGGCTTAAGGCCCAGTACCGATGAGCCCTTGTATCAGCCCCCGACCTATTCTGTTCCTTATGCGGTCATATATGTGATGTGGTCAGGTTGCTGTGCTAAAATCGATGCGTTCATCGCCAGACAAGGCACTCAGCCACTGTCATCCAGTAGGTTCTGCGGGGACCAGTATTCGTTTTCTTCCGCTTGAGCGTCTAGCCAGACAAGACCATCTGCTAGAAGATCATCGATAACGGTCTGCGATCGAGCCTTCTCCCAGTTCAAGTTTACTTGTAGCATCGAAATGCTCACGTAACCCAGAATTTGGATAACCTCAAGCACTGTAGCCTGATCCGTATTCAGCTCCTTCGGGATCGATCGAATATATTGTTTGCTTCCAACTCGTATAATCGAGAATCCAGAGCCAAGTGGCTCGAGACTCTTAACAGCCCGAAGGACGTCGTCACTACAGATAGATAAAGATGACATGGGTCAGTGTGCGGTGTCACTACTGCATGGGCCAGACCTGCATACTCTGTAACTTCTAGTCCACTCCCAATGGCCTTGCCTTTGCCTACTCGTTTCCGGCATTCTTCCACCCCGATTAAGCCGCCGTTCTCGCTGCGGGTTGCTCGGCAAAGTTCCACCACTCTGACAGCGACTTCGAAGTAGAAGTCGTTCATGTCTCCACCCATGATCTGAGTCCAGAAGCTGCCAATCTCGCCTAAGCCTTTCCGCGCATTCTTGCCTTTGACATTGCTGGCTGCAAGGGGGTCAACCCCAATCGCATTGCACATGCGCGCAAACTCCGCTCGGAACGTCGGGTTCGACTTGATCGTGGAGCTGTGTTCCAGCGCGAAGGTGTGGAGCAACGACTGGAATACAGACAGCTGCGTCTGTAAGGACGAGAGGTGGGAGGAACGCAGGGTGGCGCCATGACTGGCAAACGATTGACTAGCCTGGGTCCGATTGGCAAAGGCGCCAAGTCCGACGCCTCGACGACTAGCCATGGCGATTAGCTCTCTGATCTGGGGATTGTTGAAGAGCGTGGGGTAGAAGAGGGCCCGGATGTTGTCATACGGCCGCTGGCGCTTATCGGAGCCAGTCAGCTGACCCGCAGATACCCTGCGTCGATAAGGGCTGGCCGGACCAAACGGCCAAAAGAGAACATATGGGCCGGCCACTGTCGCTAGCCGTTTTGGGCTTAGCGCAGGAGATCCACCCACACAACCCATTTTTCTCGAAGTTGCAGCGTTTTTTCTTTCTTGATCTTCTTCCAGTACGACAGCCTTCGCCAAATCGCCCAACTCGCGAACTCTACGGACCGTCACAATGGCCTCCACTGCTACGTGAGACTCCCTTTGAGATTTCCCAGCGGCTGTTTCGCCGTACGAGCTTGTGGGGTTCAGTTATAGTCGTCCTTTCTCTCGCTGGAGATGCTGCGATCGGAAACGGTCGCTAAGCACCAGCTCGATTTTTCCCACGACCGCCTCTCGTCCTGAATCGCCTAAGAATATATTAGATGAGGATTGGATGAGTTTTGGTCTGGGGTGTTGAGGCTGAAGGCACAGTGACCTTCTCCTCCAAAAGGATTGTTGTGCGCTATCATCATGTGCGTTGCGCCGTAATAGGTTGCAGTACGGATGAAGGGCCTCAACACCACTTCCTGAGCGCTATGTTTGGGGTTTTGTCGGATGAGGATAGTTTACTGGTCACTGTCGCCCTGGACTTGCGAACATTATGCTGGAAATGCATAAGTAGTAGTGAGATACAGCGTGCAATTGACAAGTGAAGATTCCTACCTCACCGATCAAATGGATGTCGTCGGGTGCTTTTATCATTTGCCTTCAGTACGAGAATGTGGCACTATGGCTGCAATTCTTACACTCGGCGAAAAGTCCTTTCTGTACAAACTGCGGACGGACTATACTGACCTTCACAGCACTGTCCCCACCCAGGAGCAGGTCCTCGTCCCCGAGACCCTCCTCAAGAAGCGCAAGAGCCAGGAGCAGGCTCGCGCTGTTGCCCGTGAGGAGGCCGAGAAGAAGAAGGCCGTAAGTGTTTACCGATTTCTTTTTTCCTCTCTTGCTTCTATAGTGATGACAACACACCACTACGCGACTAGACTACGGTCGATGCTGTCGCTTCGTTAACCATCTTTCGGGGCTGAAAATGAAGCTGCAAATGATTTTTGTTTCATGAGTCGTTTGTGAAGACCGTCTGCTAACAGCTGAATCCAGGCCAACAAGGAGAAGCGCGCCGTCATCTTCAAGCGTGCCGAGTCCTACGTCAAGGAGTACCGCGATGCTGAGCGCGAGAAGATCCGCCTTGCCCGCGTTGCTCGCAAGGAGGGTAACTTCTACGTCGCCGAGGAGCCCAAGCTTGTCTTCGTTATCCGTATCAAGGGGTAAGTTTCGACTTGACTATCGTGAAAAACAGCTTGTATTAACAACCTCGCAGTATCAACAAGATCGCTCCCCAGCCCCGCAAGATCCTCCAGCTGCTCCGTCTGCTCCAGATCAACAACGGTACCTTCGTCCGTCTTACCAAGGCTACCCAGGAGATGTTGACCATCATCAACCCCTACATCGCCTACGGTTACCCCAACCTCAAGTCCATCCGTGAGCTCGTCTACAAGCGCGGTTACGGAAAGGTCGACAAGCAGCGTGTTCCCCTCACTGACAACCAGATCATTGAGGAGCACCTCGGCAAGTACGGCATTGTCTGCATGGAGGATCTGATCCACGAGATCTACACCGTTGGCCCCAACTTCAAGCAGGCCAACAACTTCCTGTGGCCCTTCAAGCTCTCCAACCCCACTGGTGGTTTCCACACCCGCAAGTTCAAGCACTTCATCGAGGGTGGTGACTACGGTAACCGTGAGGAGAACATCAACGGTCTCATCCGCCAGATGAACTAGATTCATTCTCGGTGATGGTTGTCCGTACCGGGTTGTAATGAGGTCCGATTTTCCTAGTTAGCGGGTACTGGTCTAAAATCTGGGTTCAAAATTAAAAGCTTCGTACAACCTGATCTTGGTCACTAGCATTGTATCTGTAGTCTGTCAATGTAATGCACTATCTTAGCTGTTGGCTCTGAGTGTTCGCCCTTCAGACGTTATCCCCTATGTTCGTATTGATTCCTCTGCGGTACGCTCCACTGTTATCCTCTCACGAAGTACGGAGTGTTCGATAAGCCTCCCTACACATACACATGACTTCATCAAGCCGACTATTTCTCGGTGCTTTTTACGTTTGCGGGTGTCATCCTTTTCCAGTCTTCTGTTCAAATTGTCTCTTTATTTCTATTTGTCTTGTAACTAGTAGTCTAATGACCTTGGGATAGAACAACATGTACCCATATGTCAAGATATATATATGTCCCTCACAACCCCTTCAACACTCCCTCGGCTGAAAAAATACAATAAACCCTCTAGATCTTGATAACCTCTTGAACCTTCCTGTTCTTATCCACGACCAACCGAAGCTGCCTCCCTTCCCACCCCGTCGATGGAGCAGATGCAGTAGTAGCGTGGGGGACAGGTTTAAACACACCCTCCCGAAGGGTTTCACTGAAGAGTTCATAAGACGGATAATCTGGACCTTCAATTAGCCTTCTATCCTCAACACTCAAATCAATACTTACAGCCGTTAACAAAATGGGTGACCTGTTCCTTAGTCATACCGGTTCCCTTAGCAGCGCGAAGGGTCCTCTCCTGCTCCTGTCGCCAATCATAGACGAAATGCAGATCCTGCGCATCTCTATAGAACATGGAATCAGCACGACAATCCCCGCAGCCATCGATACTCACTTACATATGAATCAAAGCATCCAACTGACTGCCCAATCAATTAGCCCCAGCAGTTCCAATCCAACCCAATCCACATTAGAACCGTAAGAACTCACTCCGTAATCAAATCATACCCCCTCAACGCATCATTCACCGTCCTAACATCCTCAAACTCCACGAACCCCAACCTCCCCTTATACGCCTCCCCATCCCTTTCCCTCCGCCGCACCGCCTCCTCCCACTTCCCCCGGAGCACCTCCTCATCCCACGCCCGGAACCCAACACACCACCCCTCAAAGATCACCACCTTGACCGGCTCCTCCCCCTCCCGATTCACCACCTCCCACTGCTCCTCCGGCACCCGATCCCCCTGCCCCGCAAACGCAGACTTATCATACGCCGGAACCGCCGTACGACGGCCCGCTCGCAAAGAGGCGAATACCTCCTTCGCGAGCGCTAAATCATGAGTCGCGGGTTGGCCGCGGTGCTGGAGGAGCGGATTCGAGGGGTGGGTTTTGGCGAGGTTCTGCTGTTCGGCGTGGGTGAGGTAGAGGTCGTCGAGGGAGAGAGTGACCACGGAGAGGGAGTAGGGTGGGGATCGGAGGGTGGATTGGAGGGTGGAGACCTGCCATGAATATTAATTAGCCTCTTGGTTGATATTGGGTACTGTGGGAGTGCTAATCCTCGGCATAACATACCAGGACGGTTTTGCCGGCGCCTTGGACGCCATTCAGACCGAGGAAGAATGGCGGGGTATCGGTGGGGTGGTGCGCTTGGTGGGCTTTTAGGCGTTCGAGGAGGAACGGGATGCAGTGTTGGGATTTGTCGTCGATGATTTCGGGCATTTTGGGAAGTGGAGGGGTAGATTTGGTGTTTGCTGTTAGGGAGGATGTAGTAAAGTACGTATGTTGTTGGGGTTGCTATGGATGGGCTATATACAGTGGACTAACTGACTACTGCTAAGCTTCGGAGGTGATCCGAGCGGGATAACCTGGGGACAATTGTTCTGGCTGATGGTTTACCCGCCATGGCTGGGACGTCGCACATTTCTCCGGGGTGGAATTGGATCCGTTTTTATGAAGAAGGATAGCTTTATCGCACTGACCGAATAAGGGTATTATGAAGATGGGATCAAGTGACGGGCGGCACGTGGCATGACGTTGCCTGAGAATCACATGTCTGAGTCAGCAGACTGAGGAACTCTATGGATAACTAACTATCTGGAAAGCCTGTATTGTCATGGAGAGTCTATGCAGGATTGTCGATCATGGTCATTTATTCAGTGCTTTACTGTTAATACTGGATTCGACTTGGTCTGCCCCTTAGAGACACGTAGGCCCGTCACAAACCGTGGGTGGGTAGAATGGGGAAGAAGGGGCCCCAGTAACAGCCAGGGGGAATCTGGAGTCCGTCTGGAAGTTGGGGAGAAACGGCAATTCATGGATCACAGAATGAGAAGATTAGATCATGGACCAGGAAGATCGGCATGTGAAGGCCCATCATCTGCCACCCCCGATCGGTCTAGCGTCAGCCAGCCAAACCTCCGAGCTTCACCTGCAAAAGATGCCGAGGTTCCTCTGCCCGCCTTGCCGAGCACTGCGACCGTCCCCCAGCTCGCGGCCAACATCTTAGCTTCCCCCCCCCCCGGATTCTTCCTCTCGTCTCCCCCAGACAATCTATCTCCTCAAAACTACTTCTTCAACTTAAGCGACATATAATACCCCCGTCTCCTCTCCCTTTTACGTCGTGATTCTATTATCCCCTCCGATCCTTCTATACCTTGACTCTCCCTCTTCACATTACCTAAGATGTCTGAGCTACGCTTCGACAACCAGACCGTGGTTGTCACGGGAGCTGGTGGTGGCTTGGGCAAGGCCTATGCTCTCTTCTTTGCCTCAAGGGGTGCTAATGTCGTCGTCAACGACCTGGGTGGCTCCCATTCTGGCGAGGGCAAGTCGGCCAAGGTCGGTGTCACTAGTCACATGCCCCGATGTCTTTGTCTATCTCCGCTGACTCCGATCCGCCTCCCTAGGCTGCCGATGTGGTCGTGGAGGAAATCAGAGCTGCTGGCGGCAAGGCAGTAGCAAATTACGACAGTGTCGAGAACGGTGAAGCCATCATTGAAACCGCGATCAAGAACTTTGGCCGCATCGATGTTCTCCTTAACAACGCTGGTATCCTGCGGGATATCAGTTTCAAGAACATGAAAGATCAGGATTGGGATCTCATCAACAGAGTACACACATATGGTGCATACAAGGTAAGCCGGAGAAATACCAGTTTCTTCATTCAGCCTCCGGGTTGCTGACGCTGGACTCGGTGGTCTACAGTGCGCAAGAGCTGCATGGCCTCACTTCCGGAAACAAAAGTATGGCCGCGTCATCAACACTGCTTCATCAGCCGGTCTTTTCGGTAGTTTCGGTCAGGCAAACTATTCCGGTATGCTTCGAGGACCTTGATATCCGTGATGTGCTTAGCTGATCAAATAAGCGGCCAAACTCGGTCAGGTCGGCTTCACTGAGACGCTGGCGAAGGAAGGCGCCAAGTACAACATTCTCGCCAACGTCATTGCGCCGATTGGTATGTGGGGTACATCCTTTGAACGAGGAATGACTGACTCGAAACAGCCGCTAGCCGCATGACGGCCACAGTCATGCCTCCAGAGGTTCTGGAGAACCTCAAACCCGACTGGGTTGTTCCCCTAGTGGCTGCTCTGGTCCACCCAACCAACACTACCGAGTCTGGCGGAATCTATGAGGTCGGTGGTGGACATGTAGCCAAGTTGCGCTGGGAGCGCGCCAAGGGTGCTCTGCTGAAGACCGATGCCTCTTTGACCCCTGGAGCCATTGCTAGGAAGTGGAACGATGTCAACGACTTTTCTCAGCCCAGCTATCCCACTGGTCCTGCCGACTTCATGACTCTCTTGGAGGACGGCTTGAAGCTGCCCAGTGCTCAGGGAGGTGAGGAGCCTGACTTCAAGGGCAAGGTGGCTTTGGTCACTGGTGGTGGCAATGGGTATGTGGCCCCGAAAATCCACGATTGGAGAACTGTCTGTTTCTAACAGCTGCATAGCCTTGGTCGTGCCTACTGTCTGCTCTTCGCTAAGCTCGGTGCTGCCGTCGTTGTGAACGACCTCGTTGACCCCGAGCCTGTCGTTCAGGAAATTAAGAAGATGGGTGGCCAGGCTGTTGGTAACAAGGCATCCTGCGAAGATGGCGAGAATGTTGTTAAGACGGCCATCGACGCATTCGGCCGGATTGACATCCTGATCAACAATGCCGGTATCTTGCGGGACAAGGCTTTCAACAACATGAACGACGACCTGTGGAACCCTGTCATCAACGTCCACCTGCGTGGCACCTACAAGGTGACCAAGGCTGCCTGGCCTTATATGCTCAAGCAGAAGTATGGTCGCATTGTCAACACTGCAAGCACCAGCGGTATCTACGGAAACTTTGGCCAGGCCAACTATGCTGCCGCGGTATGTTAAGAGACCGAAAATCAACCTGGACTGTACTAATTTGGTATCAGAAACTCGGTATCCTTGGTTTCTCCCGCACACTGGCTCTTGAGGGTGCCAAGTACAACATTAAGGTGAACACGATCGCCCCCAATGCTGGTACCAACATGACCCGCACTATCATGCCCGAGGAGATGGTTCAGGCCTTCAAGCCTGACTACGTGGCTCCCTTGGTGGCTCTCCTTTGCTCCGACATCCTGCCAGAGCCCACCACCAAGGGCCTCTACGAGTGTGGCAGCGGCTGGTTCTCCCGCACTCGCTGGCAGCGCTCGGGCGGCCACGGATTCCCCGTCGACGTCAAGCTTACCCCCGAGGAGGTGGTCAAGAACTGGAAGGCAATCACCGATTTTGAGGATGGCCGTGCGGATCACCCTGAAGACGGCCAGGCTGGTTCCGAGAAGATCATGGCCAACATGAGCAACCGCAAGGGCGGAGATGGCGGTAACAGCACTCTGCAAGCCATCGAGACGGCCAAGCAAGCCACTACGGAAGGAACACCCTTTGACTACGTGGATCGTGATATCATCCTCTACAACCTCAGCTTGGGTGCCAAGCGCACCGACCTTCCCCTGGTGTATGAGAACCACGAACACTTCCAGGCTCTGCCCACGTACGGTGTGATTCCCTGGTTCAACACCGCCAACCCTTGGAACATGGAAGACATCGTCGCCAACTACTCCCCGATGATGCTGCTGCATGGCGAGCAGTACATGGAAGTCCGCAAGTTCCCCATCCCCACGGCGGCCAAGACCTTGACCTACCCCAATCTTATCGACGTCGTGGACAAGGGCAACGCGGCCCTGGTCGTTTCCGGCTACACCACCAAGGACGCCAACACTGGAGAGGATCTTTTCTACAACGAGTCGACCGTGTTCATCCGTGGCAGCGGCGGCTTTGGCGGATCGCCCAAGCCCACTGCTCGCCGGCCCAAGGCTGCCGTCGCATCCTACAAGCCCCCTCAGCGCAAGCCCGATGCGGTTGTCGAGGAGAAGACGTCGGAGGACCAGGCTGCGCTGTACCGCCTCAACGGCGACCGCAACCCTCTGCACATTGACCCCGAGTTCAGCAAGGTGGGTGGATTCAAGACTCCGATCCTGCACGGCCTCTGCTCTCTCGGCGTCTCTGGCAAGCATGTGTTCAGCACATTTGGCGCCTTCAAGAACCTCAAGGTTCGCTTCTCCGGAGTGGTGCTGCCTGGCCAGACCCTGAAGACGGAGATGTGGAAGGAGGGCAATGTGGTTCTCTTCCAGACGACGGTGGTGGAGACGGGCAAGCCTGCCATCACGGGGGCTGGAGCGGAACTGTTGGAGGGTGCCAAGGCCAAGTTGTAAAACAGCGTCAGGATGATCCGGACGAATCTGATCAATCAGAATGTATGTACATAAGCGGTATGAAAGTATTCTGTTGAATTAAGCAATGTCATTGAATGAACTACCAATACCAACGAGTGCACACGCCTTCTGCAGCCACTTCGTAAGCGATCTCAAGGCGGATGATCTACAGGCGGAGAGTCTCTGATTTGAGGAGAGGGAAATGGCCCTGAAAGTCTGGCCCTCAGTGATGGAGGGTGCCTGCAGATGAGGGGATGGTGAAGCGGAGGATGCTCAATGTTGGGACGGGCAGGTGTGTCGGGAGTGGCAGGCCGTCAGGTATGGTAATGCTCGGCGGCTCCCAACCCACCTTCGGATCCTCCAATCCATCCATCCACTACTACTATTCATTCCCCCTTCCGACTACAAATCACCCCATCCTCAACGCCGCCAGTTCCATCGCCCTGCCTAGGCCCCGATACTAGCGTGGTGTGACATCGTCTGTCCGATCGGCAGATACATCCACCGCAGGCCAGACGCCCTCCGCCTATCCTCCAACGATCATGTAGCAAGCTCAGTCTTGCTCCCCTCCGTCAGTACAACGATGGTGCTCTCCCTATCTGTCCCTAGCTTCTCTCGATCCACCACCACTACCTCGCCCCCGCTTCGTTCCAGCGATGGCACCCACTCCACCACCATCAGCGAGGCCCTCCGCAACAACCCCTTCGGCATCACCTCCCGAACTCGCCCCATCGCCGCCCCGAACCCCACCTCCGAGGACCAAAAACGAGAGCAGGACGAGCTGAACCATGCCCTGCAGACCCTCGCTCGAATCTTCCCCGATATCCGCGTCGAGGTATTCCGAGAACTCCTGGTCCGATTCGACGGACAGAGCCGTCTCCATGTCTGCGTCGAGCAGTTACTTCGTCACAAAGAGGAATGGGTAGCAGGGCGATGGAATGCGTCAGCCGATGCCGGGGGGTCGGAGGGTGATGGTGGCGTTGTCCACCAACTCAACGGCAATGAGCTTCTGGTTCCCCCTAATGAGCTGTTCCGGTCAGATGAATACAAAGTTGCCGTCAAGCTAGCTCTTACGAAGGAGTTTAGTGGTCTGAGTAAGAGTGCGGTGGAGGCTGTGTTGGCAGAGGTGAATTTCTGTTACATACGAGCCCGTCCGACTTTGCTTGATCTCTCCCGGAGAACCTGGCGCGCGACGTTCAACAGCATCCTACCTTCCTTTAAGCGCCACAAGAGCGAGCATCCGCTGATCGTGTGGCAGCGTCGTACAGACGGTGACTTGGTCCCGCGGCTGAAGAAGACCGGATGCCAAGAGTTGGATCGGGAACTTCATGAAATCTTACTGGCGCCGCTACTTCGAACGAGGCAGGAGGAGAGGGAAATCAAGGACCTCAAGTTGGCGGAGGAGCTGAACGAGACCGAAGCCAAGGCGGTTGATGCTGTTTATGAGTGCGAGTGCTGCTTGGCCGATGTGACCTTTGAGCAGATCTCGACATGCTCGGACAACACGCACATTATCTGCTACGGCTGCATCCGGCGAACGATCCACGAAGCCTTGTTCGGCCAGGGCTGGGGCAAATCGGTAGATGTTGAGAAGTCAACACTGAAGTGCCTGGCGCCGTTCGGCCACGACAGCTGCCACGGGTCCCTGAACCCGGAGATCGTCAAGCGGGCTATACTACTCGATAAGGCTGGGCTTGAGACGTATGCCAAGTTCGAGACGCGACTTGCCTCGGAGGTTTTGCTCAAGTCCCAGTTGAAGCTCATTCGATGCCCCTTTTGCTCCTACGCGGAGGTTGACCCCGTGTACCATCCTTCTGCCGGCGGCCTTGCCTGGCGCTTTCGCCGAGATGGGCTCATCTCCAGCCTATTGATCACTATCTTCTTGCTCGACTTGATACCCCTACTTCTTATACCTGTAACACTACTTTACCTTCTAGATCCTTCTGTCGTGACCACTATCTTTGACAACGCCCTCCTCAACCTCTGCCTCAAGATCCGGGCCAAACGGTTCACCTGCGCGCATCCGGCCTGTCGACGGGTCAGCTGCATCACCTGCCAAAAGCCATGGCGTGATCCGCATGTCTGTCACGAGCCACTCCTCCTCGACCTGCGGGCCACCGTCGAGGCTGCCCGAACCGCTGCCGTGAAGCGCACCTGTCCTCGCTGCGGACTCTCGTTTGTAAAGTCATCCGGTTGTAACAAGCTAACCTGCGTCTGCGGCTACTCCATGTGCTACCTCTGCCGCAAGGCCCTCGGGCCTCCCAGCAAGCCCGCCAACCGCCGAGGCCGTCCTCGACCGCGCCGTCGAGTAAACCTCGTAGAAAACCTCGATCCGGCTGCCGGGCCCGCGGGGCTTGACGGCGACGACAACGATGAATTTGCTAACGAAGACGAATTCGAAGAAATGGAAGGCTACAAGCACTTCTGCGAGCATTTCCGGATCAACCCGGGCTCGCACTGCACAGAATGCAACAAATGCGAGCTCTACCAAGATGAAGACGAAGAAGCCGTGGCGCGTCGCGCCGGCGAGAAAGCCGAACGTGAATGGCACGCGCGCCAGGGCACCGCTGGCGTCGGCATCGGGACTCTCCGCGTCAACAACGACTTCTCCGTATCCGAAGGTAAACGTCGCGGTGGTAGTGGACGGTTGATCCTCCACCATCAAGGCAAGGGCTGGACCTACTGGCTCGATGAAGTGTGGCGCGATGGCCGGTGGAAACTCGAGGGTCAGACCTTGGTAGATTGGGTAGTGGAACGGATCATCGTGATCGACGAGATATAACCCTTCCTTCCCCCCCTGCTCTTCCTCCTTTCTCTCTTGCTCCTCTCCTCTTGCTTTGGCGTAATATGGACGGTGTTTTGAGATGCCGAATGATTGAGCGATCACAAAGAACTCATACAGAAATCGATTGGCTAATTTGCATTGGAATGAATGACTGAATGGAATTGACTGGATTGGATCAGCACAATTGGAATTGGACTTGGACTTGGTGCTCTGATGATGAGACGATACGATTACACGACTTGTCGTTTCTACTGCTTCTATGGATTGAGAATTGAATGCCTTGCTTGGTAGCTTGAGTCTCTGATACTAGGGATGATACGATAGTTTACCTACTTGACCTGGATTTGCTCTCCTACCTTGGGTCAGAGAATATGGCAAATCTTCGTATTGGGTACAATCGGTAGAACCGTATCTAAGAAACGACATCCGATCAGGTAATTAGCCAGTCGTTAGCCAATGCCCCATCACCAAATGAGTCGTGTCATTCAAGCCAACTTCATATCATATAAATAGTAGGACTGTCTCTTGCGCATACTAAATCAGCACGGCAATGACGAATTCTAAATTGATGAAAATAGCTTGCGATGTTTCAATTCTAGTCTATCATATCATGGGACGGACATAATGACCAGCTAGGTACAGAGTATAGCAAACCACGACCAAAAGTGGTAGAATCACATCTAACATGCGCGTCATTCTAGAATCCGTAGTACGCAGATAGTGTGGCATGCCACGTCCTCTCCCTCCTCCCTCCTCCCTCCTCCCATTCCTCCCACTCCTCCCACTCCTCCCACCCCTCCCACTCCTCCCACTCCTCCCACTCCTCCCACTCCTCCCACTCCTCCCACTCCTCCCACTCCTCCCACTCCTCCCACGCCCCTACCTTCAATTGATCTACTATTCTTCCCCCTCCACCATCCGCCTCCCCTCCACCTTCAACCGCTCATCATCCGCCCGTTCCAGCACCACCTGGGGAATCAACCCCAGCG